TCTCTCTCTCTCTCTCTCTCTCTCTCTCTCTCTCTCTCTCTTTTCCTCCTATTCGTATCGAGTCTCTCCTTCCCTCCGTCGACCCCTCTCTTTTTATTCCTTTCGTCCGCTTTCTCCTCGTCTCTCCCGCACGATCGGATTGTCGCTCCTTCTCGCGCATAGGACGTGAATGCCGCTCGTGCGTCTCTTTTTGCGTCTCTTCCTTTGCGCCCGTCGGCGGCGCGCAGGAAGAAACTTGTTTCGGGAACGGGAACTGATACGATTCTACGGGTTCCATGGTCTCGGCGCTTTTCAAACACCACCACTCGCGGCAATGTCTGGCTTTCAACTCTCTCGATTGCCTGCGACTGAGTTAGCTGACCTACTACGATCTTGATAAAGTAGCCGGCGAGATAGTAGACTGCTGAATTTTCAAAATTGCGAAAAATTTCAAAATTCTCTTACGTACTCGCAATAGTTGAACATAAAATCTAGAAAAGAAATTTATATAAAAGACATCTCTTGTTTGTACAAAATATTTATGCAATTTCAAACCGAACGTGATTCAACAATTTCTACGAAATTATTGAATTAATTGAAAAATTCGGGTCTTGTTATTTTTCGGAGTACGCGATATTTTTCTTCCTTTCTTTTTCCCGTGTTTAAGTAGCTGCATTGTAAATCGACGGAAGAGTATCGAACAAACAAGGTGCCTATGGAAGAAGCTCGAACGTGTCGCCGTGCAAACAGCGCGCTCAGTTAGCAGCCTAACGTCTCCTCGGGCGGCCGGCGCGGCGCGGCGCGGCGAGGAGAGAGCTGGCGGAATTTAAAAGCGCTTTTAGCTTTTAGCCCAGGCGATACCGCTAAGAAAACGTTTTAGCGGATTTCATTTGCCCCGTCGCGGCTTCGTAGCGGCCTGCCGAGACGATGGATCGCAAGAAACAGTGGGGGACAAGAGGGTGAGGAGATGGGAGAGGGGGGGGGGGTGGTGGTAAAGGGTGAGAAGAAGCGGCGGTGCGGAGGCGGTTGCTCCGAGGGATGTTGGCAACACCGGTTATTAAGTAGATGCTACATTGAATGGGTGGATGAATATTTAAGACGTTCAACAAGTTGCGGATTTTTCTTTAATCAGGCTAACCTGCAGGTCCCCTCTTCTTCTACCGTAACTCGGCTTTCTCATCCTCCTTGCTGGTTTCCACTTGCTCAAATTATGGCGCGAAGCGAGTGAAGCTGTTTATGCCGAGAGAGAGAGAGAGAGAGAGAGAGGGAATTTCAAGAAGTTCGCTACTCGACACACTCTCTTATATTGCGTCTGTGATTTTTTTCTTTTTAAATGTATTATTAAAGCTTTCTCCGCAACGTCACACATTTTGAATTAGGAACAGACCTTTTCGGCGGTTTTTTTTTTTTTTTTTCGAAACCAGGTCCCCGTTTTAACAATGGAAATGGCAAATTTTCGGAGAAATTAAGGAACATCCCGTGCGTTTATTTGGACTTTAAAGCCTTTCCGCTCCCGTTCTTGTTCCGACGCTGATTTAAATGTGGCTCACGCGGCCAGATCGATCGATCCCTCGTTCTGTGTCCATCTGCCGGATTGGTCCGCGATAGCGGGTAGGTCGATGGACAATCGGCAAGAATGAAGTTTTATTTGCGTCGTGTATTACTCCCTGCGAGATAGCGCAAGAGGCAGGGCGAGGAAAAGGGGCGCGAGGATCCGCGGCGATCGGCGGGACGGGAGGGGGCGGTTCACGAAACACTCTAAATCCCCGAGGCAAATAGTTTTTCTTCGATATCCGTCGGCCAGAAACAAACAAGATTCTTTATAGACGGAGCAAACCACTCTTCTATAAGT